AGCAACATAACAAACAAGTGTGTGGAGGCAAATTTGCTCTTATTCAGAGAGCTGTTGAGTGTGTGTCTGCCTAGAGCTCCGATAGGCCTAGGTTTTCTACTTTGCTGAGGAGTAATGTTAAAGAAACAGGAGGAGCGGGAACAGGCAGGCCTTAGTTAGCGGCGTTCCCATTTCAGGCCTTCGCAGGGGTTGCGGGCTGTCGGAGGAGATGGCTCTTGCATCTTCTCTGTAAGGCCCATCCCTGTGGCAGAAAGTGGGGGCTCTGTGGCTGTTCAACGGAGCACCACGGGCAGCACTGAACGTGAGCGACTTGGGTTATGGTGGGAAATGGAGCCCAGGGACCCTCAGCACAGGGGACCGGCTGCAATGGTACCACTCAGCCCGGCCAGGATCCCCAGCCTTGCTTTTGTTCTTGATCTCTTTGTGAGAGAAGCTTAGAACATTGAATTTTGAGCCCCAAAATGTGTGAGTCTTTGGAAAACCATTCAGCCTTTCTGTCAAATGCTCTTATTTTCAAATTTGAGTATGTATTTGAAATATTCACATTTCTGTTATTCTTGTTTTTAAGCTCGAATTTTCAGTTTTCTGTCCTGCATGCTTTCAACAGTGTGCTTTTACAGAGGCAGTTTAGCCAGTGATGTCCCTGCCCCACACTCCATATGGTCCTGTTGTCCTGAAAATACACTCCAGGTAGCACAGACTTGTTATTTTGCCGGCTGGTTACACACATGCTGTCTTGCTTTGCTGCTTCAGCCGCCTCCTCTGAGGCCAACTTAGGCCAACTACCTGGGACTCCATCTGAATCAGACGCCAGGAGAAACTGAGTGGTGACCACGGGTCTGCTTTTTCTCTGATCTAGGGGACTGTGACATGGGAGTATCTGTTCCACCCATGGAAGGATGTGTGTTTTCTCTCATCTCTGAATAGATGTAATATATGAAGTCTAGTGTCCATGGTTTAAAATGTTGCTTTGAGGATTCTCCATCCTGTATAAGAAGAATGACTTTCTTCAGATATATAATCTTATTTTAAAAGCTGTATGTACCCTTTACTTAAAAACTTTAACAGTTTTTCATGTTGCACTGGTAATTTTTGAACTTGGAATTGCTGGGTGAGAATTCCAGGAACACAGAGTATTGATTTTTGCTGCCAAAATGCTATTGAGGCAGATGTTCCTGTGCTCCCTTGGCTGCTTCTGGCTGAAGGGGAGAGGTGTGGACTGAAGCTTGGGCATCATGTGTGTCCCCTCCCAGTCCCCATCCCAGTGGGGCCAGCCTCATTAGGCAGCCATAGATGAGCCTGGAACTTGACTGTCACTAGTGACTTGATCCTGGTGTAAAATGCATACTCGGGATAAGGTCACTCAGGTATTTTATTTCTTGGCCACAACTCCCATAGATGCCAATGTTTTGATAGCCTCGGTTTCTCAACGATGTCCTTTGTTTACAGTGCTACACTTCATACAAGTCAAGAAGTACTTGAGTTGAGAGAACTTCTTATTCAGGTTTGAGTAAGCATTTTACTTCCATGTGTACTTTTAAATAATCCATACCTTGAAGAAGTTGGCCAGTGACATTATATACATGCTGATCCGGTTGTTCTTTTCATTCCTTGAGTCAGCTTCAGGGTCTTGGATATTAAGAGAGAGAGGAGGAACGTTAATGTTTTGGGTCATCATTTGTGGACAAGGCCAGACTTTGCCCATTTTAGGTTATCCGGACTCAAGGTAGCCATCTGGATCATAAGAAGGTCCTGCAGTTGAGACAAAATGACCCAAGTGTATTTTCCACAAGTTTTGATCCTCTGTAATATTTCTTTTTCCTTCCCTAGTGTGTGTAGATGAAGGCATGGAATGCAGTTCCACTTTCTCCCCAGAGCTGATCTTTTTGTGATTGCTTTCCCGTCTCTAGTATTCTGTTGTGTCTAGAGAACTGATTTTTTCCTACATATGCAGATTGTACATTTGTAAGTGAAAATGTCAATACATTAAAGCATTAACCTTAAAGCATGTTTCATTGTGACTTCTGTGTCTTTAAAAAATTACTTTGTAGTAACACACTCTGTTTTTTCTGCTGTCATGGATCATAAGAATGCCATTTATTGAGAACCTACCAAATGCTAGACTATATCGTCACATCAGAGACAACTCACTGAATTCTTAGTGACTCTGTAAGGGAGGTATTCTCCAAGTTCCACTGGAGGGACCAAGGTCCAGAAGTTAAATAATTTACTCAGGAGCATGCAGGTAGTAGGTCTCCACATCTGAGGTTAAAACGCCTTCTTGTTCCCTGTGCCATGTGAATATATGATTTCCACAAACAGGAGTGGCCTGTGTAGTCACACTCGGGATGGCTGTGAGAAAATGGACACTATTTTTCCCACCCAGACTCCCCGGCAGTGTGTGTCCAATAACTTCTCCAGCATCTTTGGATACATGACTTTGTTTTTTGTTATTTTTATTTTTTAACTTTTATTGTTTTTTTTGAGACGGAGTCCCGCTCTGTTGCCAGGCTGGAGTGCAGTGGCTGGATCTCAGCTCACTGCAAGCTCCACCTCCCGGGTTCACGCCATTCTCCTGCCTCAGCGTCCCGAGTAGCTGGGACTACAGGCGCCGCCACCACGCCCGGCTAATTTTTTGTATTTTTAATAGAAACGAGGTTTTACCGTGTTAGCTAGGATGGTCTTGATCTCCTGACCTCGTGATCCACCCATCTCGGCCTCCCAAAGTGCTGGGATTACAGGCTTGAGCCACCGCGCCCAGCCTATTTTTGAAGGTTTCTTTTGTTTTTTAACTTACTTTCGTGAATAGATTATACATAGCTCGAAAATTAACAACAAAAAGATACATTCAGTAAAAGGTCTTTCATCTGCCCAGTACCACTGATAGTAGTTTATCCTTAATGGGTTTCTTTATGCATTGTAAGCTAGTACAAGATGATTTTTCTTTCTTTTTTATACAAAAGTTGTATACGATATACAACAGTGGTGCTTGAATCAATCTCAGTATGATTTTACACTACTAAGTTTTTGAGCCCCCAAAGAGCTTTTAAAATGTGAATCAGCTGGGCGCGGTGGCTCACACCTGTAATCCCAGCACTTTGGGAGACCAAGGGCGGCAGATCACGAGGTCAGGAGATTGAGACCATCCTGGTAACATGGTGAAACCCCATCTCTACTAAAAAATAAAAAATTAGCCAGGCATAGTGGTGGTGGCCTGTAGTCCCAGCTACTCGGGAGGCTGAGGCAGGAGAATGGCGGGAACCCGGGAGGCGGAACTTTCAATGAGCGGAGATTGCACCACGCACTCCAGCCCGGGCGACAGAGCGAGACTCCGTCTCAAAAAAAAAAAAAAAGTGATTTATATCAATATTATATTAGAAAATAAAATTGAGATTTACAAGTGATAAACCCATTGATAGTGATATTTATTTTTATTTAATTTTTTTTTTTTTTTTTTGTGTGAGAAAGAGTCTCTCTCTGTCACCCAGGGTGAAGTGCAGTGGTGTGATCTTGGCTTACTGTATCCTCTGCCCCCCAGGTTCAAGCAATTCTCCTGCTCAGCCTCCTGAGTAGCTGGGATTACAAGCACCGCCACCACGCCTGGCTAATTTTGTATTTTTTTTTATAGAGACAGGGATTCATCATGTTGGCCAGGCTGGTCTCAAACTTCTGACCTCAGGTGTCGCCCACCTTGGTCTCCCAAAGTGCTGGGATTATAGGTGTGAGCCACCCAGAGGGACTTTTTTTTTGAGCAGTTTCACTCTTGTTGCCCAGGCTGGAGTGCAATGGCGTGATCTGGGCTCACTGCAACCTCCGCCTCCCAGGCTCAAGCGATTCTCCTGCCTCAGCCTCCTGAGTAGCTGGATTACAGGCGCCTGCCCCCATGCCGGCTAATTTTTTTTTGTATGTTTAGAAGAGATGGCATTTCATCATGTTGCCCAGGCTGGTCTCGAACTCCTGACCTCAGGTGATCTGCCCGCCTCGGCCTCCCAAATCACTGGGATCACAGGCGTGAGCCACTGCACCCGGCCTATAGCGACATTTTAAAAGAACGTAGAAAACTTATTCTTCAAAACAGAATCAGTGAAGCAGACATTGTTTTCACATCACAATTTTCTTTAGTGCCAATGCCAGTAGAAGACAGACTGGATTTTCATCTTTGCATTCGAACTGTCGTGACGCTTTTTGGTTGGGATATATGAAGGATGTACATCCTTATACTGTTGTGTAGTTGGAAAGGGAGCACCTAGCGGACCCCGTAAAAGGATCCTGGGCAGTCTCAGGGTCCTTGGGTCAGACCTTAAAAACTGCTCTGTATGTTGTTCTGTGCCTTAATTGTTCACTTAACATACCTGCTATTTCCATATCAGCACTTAAAGAACCTGTGTATTCGTTTTATTTGTCCCGTAGTTTATCCAATACCATTTTGACTTTTTCTATAGCTAACAATGCTAGGATGTACCAGTTACTCCTGGTTGGGGGCTCGGAAGAAAAGGCAGTGAAGGTGGGACGCGGTGGCTCACGCCTGTAATCCCAGAACTTTGGGAGGCTGAGGCGGGCAGATCATGAGGTCAGGAGATCGAGACCATCCTGGCTAACACAGTGAAACCCCGTCTCTACTAAAAATGCAAAAAAATTAGCCTGGGTGGTGACAGACACCTGTAATCCCAGCTACTCGGAGGGCTGAGGCGGGAGAATGGCATGAACCGGGAGGCAGCTGGCAGTGAGCCGAGATAGCACCACTGCACTCCAGCCTGGGCAACAGAGTGAGACTCTGTCTCAAAAAAAAAAAAAAAAAAAAAAAAAGACAGTGAAGACAACCATCCTCAGCTCTGGAGTGCGCTCCCCTTCCAGTGGTGAGAGCTAATCATGTGGCCTGGGCTCAGTGCTTGAAGTCTGGGAGGTGTTGTCTGAGCTCAGGAAGAATGGCCCTCGCCTCAGCTGCTGATAAACGCAACAGGCCATAGTTAATGACAGATATGATTGTCAAATATCGTCAATGCTCGGTGGAAGCTGGGTTTATACTAACTTTCCTTTGCAGAATTTTTACTGATTCATAAAGCCAGTGGTTGCATATTACAAGCAGATCGTTAGTTCACACAACACAAATGTCATTTGGTCACGGATATTTTTGTTGCTGTTCGATCGTTTCTTTCCCTACTTATCAACTGGTGTGGATGGACCTAGAGAAGATGTTCACCCTTTCCAGCAAGGAATATAGTTCCTTCATCGTTTGG